ACCGATACGACGATAAATCGTCGAACGATAGAGGTACGATAAATCGACGAAGAAACACCGTGGTCGAAATGGCACGTACGTAGATGCAACGCGACAATTATTCTCACATTCTTTACAATGTGTTCGAATCTCGAAACACTTGGGTCGTGAAACGAAAGAAACCGCAACGAAATGAGAACCACTGATGGAATGGCGCCTGTCTGCGAGTATGCTGACCGCAGTATTACTATCTACATTAGCGTTATTCAACGGTTTGATATATCCATTTCAGATTTATTAATTTCACCACGGTAGGTAGGTAGGTAGGTAGGTAGGTAGGTAGGTAGGTAGGTAGGTAGGTAGGTAGGTAGGTAGGTAGGTAGGTAGGTAGGTAGGTAGGTAGGCAGGTAGATAGGTAAGTAGGTAGGTAGGTAGGTAGGTAGATAGATAAGATAGATAGATAGATAGATAGATAGATAGATAGATAGAAGGTAGGTAGGTAGGTAGGTAGATAGATAGATAGATAGGTAGGTAGGTAGGTAGGTAGGTAGGTAGCTAGGTAGCTAGGTAGCTAGGTAGGTAGGTAGGTAGGTAGGTAGGTAGGTAGGTAGGTAGGTAGGTAGGTAGGTAGGTAGGTAGGTAGGTAGGTAGGTAGGTAGGTAGGTAGGTAGGTAGGTAGGTAGGTAGGTAGGTAGGTAGGTAGGTAGGTAGGTAGGTAGGTAGGTAGGTAGGTAGGTAGGTAGGTAGGTAGGTAGGTAGGTAGGTAGGTAGGTAGGTAGGTAGGTAGGTAGGTAGGTAGGTAGGTAGGTAGGTAGGTAGGTAGGTAGGTAGGTAGGTAGGTAGGCAGGCAGGCAGGCAGGCAGGCAGGCAGGCAGGCAGGTAAACTCATGGGAATATGTCTAAAATACGGTGAAACATACTGCTAACGAGGACGATGAAAAGGAAAGGAGATTGAAGAGAAGGCGAAGGAAAAGAGATATTAACGATTGATGAAATTTCGAGATAACGCTGATTGCACGGTGTCGAGGGATAGGAAAACGAGGCTAAAACTCGCGAAGAAAGGTCGGTGGAAAGCGTATGCGAGCGACTAGAGGAAAGAACGACAGGAAGAAGGACGATTGCGATAAAGAGCGATAGTCGAATGGTATCGGGAAAAGAGATCGCGAAGAAGCAGAGTGTTTCGGGAGGCCGATATCGTCGGGCACTAATGAAATAATAACAGAGGGAGTTATCACGAGGATGGTTAATCAAAGTCATGTCCGAAAATAAGAAAGTTCTAACAGCGGCCTGTCACCTCCAGAGAGACAGCTTTAACGCGATAATAAGCGATGGGCCTGACCTAGGCTGTGTAGCGACCGTGACCTTCGTAGCGGATCGAGGCCGGTTCGTCGTTCGTGTGTACTTGGAATTCGCGCTGCTAAAACGTTTCGTATATCGTATCGATCGCTGGACCACTTCTCTCCTTTCTTATTCCGCGTACGATCTTTCTCTCCGATGCCATCGCGTACATTTGTACGCGTATGAACGTACGTACGCGTGTATATCGATGGAACGTGCATACTGGTTGCATCGAGGGATCGATCGGGGATCGAAGTAGAAGATGGAAGTAAGGTCGGAACGATGGGAGAGAGGAAGGAACGCGTGGCAGCGAAGGGAAATTGGGAAGAAGCATCGTGTCAGCGAATATGTCGTATGCGATAGCGAACGTTAACGAATTCTTGTTGCCGAGAACGGAAGACTCGTAAATGCAAACGCGCGAACATAGTAGCAACGTTGTAGATCCAACTGTGAATTTCCGGTAGCAATTTATCTTGTACGACCTCTCGGTTAGGTTTACGTCCCTGTTGTTCCACGCACATGTCGATACACACTTCGCGACGACGCGTTATCGTTGCAATAACGTTCGTTTATTCGCCGATAAACGAAACTGATCGAACGGTAGAAGAATAAAAGCAGGAAAAGGAGAACGATTGAAATTTATATTCGTTCGAATTGTCGGTAATTTTTTCGGCGGAATCGCGGTTGAAAAATACGAACCAGTTCTTTCCGATCTATACGCGTAAGTAGAATGGCGGTCGGTGAACAGAGTGGATTATTATGGAAAAACGGGAAGTTTAAACGATTTCAAACGAATTCACGGATGCGAGCAAAAGGAAAAGATGGTGGACGGACGCGTATAGTCGATACGATCGAGCGGGGCAATCGACCGACCACCGAGTGACAAAGATCGATCGATCTCTCGAGGTCGGGGAACAAAAAATCGACGCTCGTTTGATCGGAAGGAGAGATCGAGATAGATGGAGACAGAAAGAAGGGAAAAATACGGAGAAAGGACGAAAGGAATTCGAGAAAAGAGACGGTTGTCTGTAGGAAGGAGCAAAAGAAGAAAAAGTTGGAGAGGGAAGGACGAAAACACGGAGAATGAAAGCGTGGAAAAGATCGCGAATGAGCGATCGACGAAGAAAAAAGAAACGGGTAAAGACGAGAGGAGTGCCGACGTTCACGAGAAGTAGAAAAAAGAAGTAAATAGATGAAAAAGAAAAAAAAGCGGTAAGGAGAAAAAAGGAAAAGGCCGGAGAGAAAGAAGATAAGGAATACTCTATGTGGGTGTGGATGCGCATGCTCGTGTGTGGCTACGAGATAGGAGAGGGGAAATGAGAGAGAGGAACGGAGGAAAGTAACACAGGAATATAGAAAAAGGCAAACAGAAAATTAGAGGAGAAGCAAGTACGTACACGTAAGAAAGGACGAAGAAGAAAAAGAAGAAGAAGAAGAAGAAGAAGAAGAAGAAGAGGAAGAAGAAGAAAAATAAGAAAAGAAAAGACGAAAAGTTGGCACAAGTT